GGCAGCTGAGTGGGACCAAGCATCTTTCTTAAGCAAGCGGGATAGCTATTTTACCATATAGCTTCCTAATATGACAAAATCCAAATTCGTTGACTAGATTGAAGTGATTTGAAATGGGCGACCATATCGATTCGGCCAAGGAAGCATAAAATTGAAAACTAGAGTATTTAACAATACCATTGAGATGACTGTAGTGCTTGCGTTTGTAAAATAGTTTCTTTTACATTGTCAACTGCCATGAAAAGGAATTGACCTGTCCGCTACATACATAATAACAAAAAACCCGGTCCAATGAAAAAACTATGGTTCTGCTGGGTGACATTTTTCTTGTTTATTTACAGCTTTATTTATGAATGAATGTTTACTCTTAAGCTATTGAATTTCTTTAATGAATTAAAACTGTTGGAAATATCCATAACCAATTTTTAGGGAAATCTATATGAAAACTTAAATTTTTCGGTCTACAATATAAATCCTGGTAAGGCTGCACGGATGTTCAGCTAGGCTGACCTGACTCTACTGGGTGGCAAAGGCTTATCATTTTCTACTCCAGCAGACTTAGAGGTTTGAACAGGAACGTCAAAAAATATGATAATTAAAAAAGTCCTTTCATTTCTAATGTTAATTTACGGATATCTTGTATATTTTCAATCTAAATATAAGTCCTATATGTGGCCTTGAGGTTGTTGGTTAATGCTGTTTTAAACGAAAATTTAATAACGATTTCCTATCCTTATTTTGTTTCAGATGAACGTTATTCGTTGACCTCTGGCAGTGATAGTGGTTTTGTATAATTATGTTACTGTAAAGAAGGTTATAGGTTTTGTTCGCTCAAAGATTTGCTGCATATTCACCTTAGCATTTACTCAAATATAAAATTACAAATGATTTAAAGTTAAAAACAAATTATCGCAAGTACTAAAATTACAGTTATCACTAATCTTAAAACATTTTGAAAGAAAACACACTGTATATACAAGAAAAAAACATTACAGATTTTATTGAGCTTATATCTAGCTTAAGAGACAATTAAAGGTGTGCATAAAATAATTCGAAAAATGAAGAATACAATGTATGAATTAGATTGTGAATTATATGACATATTGTTGTAACATTTGTTTTGTTTTGTTTGTATAATTTCAATATTTTGTGCCATATTACTATTGCAATAAATCAATACCATATAGCTTAGATTAGTAAATGTACTTCAAAGACCAGTGTATGGAAGATAATTTAAAGTATACTATGTAATAGATGCTGACAATGTCTCTCCCGAGATTGCAAGCCTAATACATACACGAAGTATTTCTTATTATTATATACTTGAATGTAGAATCTCTCAAAAAGTAAATAACTTGTAAATTAAATACATAATCAATGGTAACCATTATAATAATGAAAGAAAAGAAATACTTGCAGTCACGTCATCTTGCTATGTAATTAGTTATTTACTTATGCATACATGTAATTGTATATATCATGAATGCTTGTACATGACTCTTTTGAGAGATAATTTACAAAATAAAGACTCTTCTTCTTCTTCTTCATATTTATTCTGTATGGATATTTTGGGTAGGTTTGATTTTTTTTATCTACTAGTATATTTATAACCAACTATGTAAAAATATGTAATACCTCCACTTTGTTAATAAACTCAATGTGATCATATTTCTGTTGTTATTATATTTTATCGTTTTGTTTTTGTTTGTTTATAATATGTAAATAAAAAAAGTTGACTGGATAGTTATATTTATTAGGTGAATACTCTTTATTGCACAAGACTCTTGCCAGTTTTGAAGAGAATTACCTATTATTATTCTAGCTGGCTTTGTAATAATTTCTGTCGCTTGTTTTGGCTTATACAAGCATAACTGTTGGTGTCGTGAGGTAAATACGGGTGTACTTACATTTTCTAACGAACAGGGAATGTATGTATCGTCTATTAGCTTCTGCTAAGAACTCGTGAAAATCTAATAATTTTCTCACTTCTCAATGAGATATACAGTCAAACTTTTAAAAAACGACCACCCAAAGGAGAGACTGAATATGGCTTTTATAGATAAGTGGTTTTTATTTAAAGTGTACTCAGTTCTGTTTTAATCACTGGAGAGTTGTACATAGCAAAATGGACTTTATCTATAGGTTGGCCTTTATTTGAAGATGTTATTTAACGTTTGACTGTATTAAGAGGTTAATACACGGCAGGAGAGGGCCGAAAGGTGATAATCGGCCCGCAAAATGAATAATGGACCCGAGGGCTTTAGCCCGAGGGCCATTATTCATTCAGGGCTGATTATCACCTTCCGGTCCTACTCTGACGTGTATTAATGTCTTTAATACACTTGGTAGATCTAATAGTAGCATTTAAAAAAAAAAAAACAACAAAGTTCTTTCGTTGACATTCTTGTCTACTCTTCTACTGTTCTGTACAGAGATGTTTACTGTTTGTGTGTTCAAAGCAGTAGAATCTAGAAGCAAGTTTTATTTTCATTTTTTTCGGAATGAATTTGTCGTATTATTTCCACAAATTTTAATAGTAACAAAAATGTGTTTGTACTAAATACGCTTAAGCTCTCATAAATAAAATTTTAAAGCGATTCGTGCTGACAACCTACTTACACTTTTTACAGTTAACTGTTTGATGACGTAAAAATATGACGTCATTGTTTCAGTTTGTGCACGTGCAACATTTTCTGGCGGGCTGATAACTAAGTTCTCGGCCCGGGCCGCAAACTCATAATAGGTCACGTGACACTCATAATCAGTTGAAATCATAGGCAATTTTGTTACTATATATAGTAACAAGTGTATTAAATATATTTACTAAATACAAAAATCGCCTTTATGTATGTATTATGCATATTACACGCCCGTTTAACACACAACGAGTGAAAAATGTCCATCGGTAAAAATGTTGTGAGCAACTTCCGTTCCTCGTTGTGAGCACCCATCTTTGACGTGTGACACGATAATTGTTCAATCAGCTACATGTTAATATTACTGTTCAATCAGCTACATGTTAATATTACTGTTCAATCAGCTACAGAGTCAATATTACTGTTCAATCAGCTGCAGGGTCAATATCACTGTTCAATCAGCTACAGCGTCAATATTACTGTAGAAACAGCTACAGCGTCAATATTACTGTTCAATCAGCTACAGTGTCAATATAACTGTTCAATCAGCTACAGTGTCAATATAACTGTTCAATCAGCTACAGCGTCAATATAACTGTAGAAACAGCTACAGCGTCAATATTACTGTTCAATCAGCTACAGTGTCAATATAACTGTTCAATCAGCTACAGTGTCAATATTACTGTTGAATCAGCTACAGCGTCAATATTACTGTTCAAACAGCTACAGCGTCAATATTACTGTTCAATCAGCTACAGCGTCAATATTACCGTTCAATCAGCTACAGTGTCAATATTACTGTTCAATCAGCTACAGCGTCAATATCACTGTTCAATCAGCTACAGCGTCAATATTACTGTAGAAACAGCTACAGCGTCAATATAACTGTTCAATCAGCTACAGTGTCAATATAACTGTTCAATCAGCTACAGCGTCAATATTACTGTAGAAACAGCTACAGCGTCAATATTACTGTTCAATCAGCTACAGTGTCAATATTACTGTTTAATCAGCTACAGTGTCTATTACTGTTGAATCAGCTACAGCGTCAATATTACTGTTCAAACAGCTACAGCGTCAATATTACTGTTCAATCAGCTACAGTGTCAATATAACTGTTCAATCAGCTACAGTGTCAATATTACTGTTCAATCAGCTGCAGCGTCAATATCACTGTTCAATCAGCTACAGCGTCAATATTACTGTAGAAACAGCTACAGCGTCAATATAACTGTTCAATCAGCTACAGTGTCAATATTACTGTTCAATCAGCTACAGCGTCAATATAACTGTTCAATCAGCTACAGCGTCAATATTACTGTTCAATCAGCTACAGCGTCAATATTACTGTTCAATCAGCTTTAAATGTTGCGTCAATATTACTGCTACAGAGTTAATGATATTCTACCACTGACTTATTTATCAATCATCACTGTGGCCCCATCATGGTGCCATCAGCTTCGGTCTCAATATTTCAGCACTTGTCATCTGTAACAGCATCAGTATATTACTGCTGTATAAGCTTAAGCATTTCTTTAGCTTTTTCATCAGCTAAAGCGACAATAGTACGGCAGTTTTGGCTAAGTAGTATGCTTATTGCTATACCAACACATGTAGCTAATGCTCCAATATAATTGTTCCCTCAGCTTATTCATCAATATAATTATTTTTTGCATATTAGATCGAAATATAGTTCAAAGAGCAATATTTTTACAAGATGCATAGCCACGAGTGAAAATATAAAAGCTGGTGTTCGCGAGTGAAATATAACTTGATCTTACATGCCGATCTATTTATTGCATGCGTTTTTACTTTAAGTGTGTGTGTTTGTTTGTGTGTGTTGGTGCGCGTGCGTGTGCGTGTTTTGGTGTTCGTGTGTGTGTGTGTTTACATCTATGCTACACAATGACAGTCGGTATATATTCTTTATTTCACACCTTATAAAATATAACCAATGCACTTACAGAATTTGAACAATATATCATTATTGGGTCCAATCTTATCAATTTAGCCTCGTTTTCATTTCATTTCCAGACTCCAAAGGTTTCATATCAAATCAATATCACACCCTTTATAGCCTCGTTTTCATTTCTAGAGTACAAAAGATTCATATCAAATCCATATCACAGCCCATCTGAGCTTCTGCATTTTAATTGACGAAACTTTTATATGCTTGAACTTGAAATGGCAATTCCTTGCCATTACTTTTCTATGAATGCTTCAATGTTTAGGCATTTTGTGAAAACCTTGATAATCATTACATGGTATATGTATACAAGGAGCATGTATGTACATTTATTTTCATAAAACATCAAAGAAAACAAAACTTAGACAATTGTAAAAAAATAAAGTTTACTTCAACAAAAGTGAATCATATAAATATCAGAACATAAAAAAGATTATATTGTGCGCAATTTTAACAATGTCCGAATTAATTAATTTATTTTCTGCCACTTTTAATTCTAAAACAAGCAAGAACAGCGCGATAGGCATTGATGAAAAATCCTTTCTTTGTTTTCTTCTTGTTTGCCAACTCATTTCTTATATCTTCTTTCGCCCACTTCTCACTGATTTGCTGAGTGCTAGAAACTTGTGACTTTGTGCAGATATCTGTAATGTTCATGTCTAAGTTGCCGTGTTTAGTAGATTTCATAGTTTGGCTGTCGGACGTCTGCTGTTTGGCGGGTTGACACTGGATGTCGTCTGCTTCTCGATAGTCACTGTTCAACGTAAAAATATAATAATTAACAATGGAAACACAATGTAAGCGCATGTACAACATCCATCGTAAATAATGACATACTCTTTCTTTTATGTGATTTATTTTTTCTAAATATTTCTGTCTTTAACACAACAAGATAAAAAAACAAGATAAAAAAAGATAAAAAATAGTTTTTGTTAATCAATTATTAATAGTACAAAACATATAAAGAGACCAAAATGTATCTTTGCAAAAACTCTATACCTTTTTACTTTTGGTTCCTGTAGAGGAGAAATATTTTCTGACACTTTTGTATTCTGCTGTTGAGAAACTGGTTCTTTGGGAAATTCCCTATAACTATTTGTATGTTGCACGCAGTCATAGTTATCTTCGAGGTACATCTTTAACTCTGGAAAAAAAAGAATTTTAAAAGCCCTTTAAAGCATAATGCAACATAGTTTTTACTTATCCCGCAAGTGATTATACTAAATGTGTTTATAAATACACGTCTTACCCTTTTTATTAGTTCATTGTGCAAAACAGTTCTCAAGTTTAAAATTATACTAGTACCCCAAAGCATTAGTAGTCGCCGGTAAAAAAGTTATATAGTTATTAGATATATGGTTTTAGATTAAATTACCATATTCAGACTGGTTCCTTATTTCAGCTCTAGAACTATTATATCCTGCTGTGCGTCTCTTGCGCTCTCCAACTTGGCCATGTTGTTGTGGTATTGACCTACTCTGACTTTGTGGCGGTAAAGCGCTCTTACTTCGCCTTTTCTTCTGTGAGGTCTTACTATCAGCTGAAAATATAAGGAAAAAGAAGCATAAACAACTTGTGATGATGCAGTGTTCACAACGGAACACCTCTATCATGAAATGAAGTATGACAAAAACGGCCGAAAAGTTGCGGTGGACTTTGTTTTTTCTACACCAGATTGTAAATAGAAAGTGACTATAGACATATTTACTACCTTGACTAACATGTCTTGTTACAACGAACGGTTATGTTCTTGCTTAGCATCCGGTTAGCAGTATTGATGTAAGACCGTCATGTAAAGGTTTCATGACAGAAAAATGATTTACTGACATTGTAAACAACTGAAAACAGTCAGAACCTTTTTAAAAAATATATATTTCAGAGTTACAAATATCACTGTCCCTGATTAATTCATAATTCAAATGAAAAAATATCCCTTTAACAGTTATAAAATATCATAAAAGTTATAAGAATATAATAAAAATTATTAGAATTCTTTGAAAACATTACCTTTTCTACGCTTTGACAATTTTCTTTAAGAATCTTGTCGTTTATGTGCGGCGCCACGTATCGGTTTTGCCCTTTTTGACGAACAAACTTTGTCCATTTTAGAATGATCTTTGTAGTCGTTTCTTGATAATCTGTTCATAATTCACTGTAACAAGATTTTCATACTCAATTATTGTGCTCATAACAAATATCAATTTATTCAACAGTTGTCAGAAATCAGATCAATTTTCACAAATTGAAATTGGCAGGAAACTGAAAGTGGGTCCAAGTCATATTTAAGTCATAACCATTTTGTGAGGAAGCGGAATTCACTGTGAATCGAATTTATTGTGTTAAAGCTTTTATCACAAACGAGCTAAAAAGTAAATAATTAGATTAAATGATTATTTAATCTTAATTAAGTTTTGTAACATTTTGAATCTCTTTACTGGCCATAACTTCCAGTAAAACGTATTAATAAAGAAATTGTAAATGATAATAAAAAAACGTATCTACATACCTTTGAGTGTTGATATCTAATGTTGCGGAACGTCGTTTCTATGACAAGTTACGTCAGCAAATTCAATTATGATTACGTCATGACAACGTTACTGACGTGATGATAGTTTAACAGAATGGGTCTGACATGTATCTGTTAATTTGCTTAATTGTTAATTTTTATTCCACTTAACATTATGATATTACGGATAAACATGGTGAAACATGAATGGAGAATCTGAATCATTCATTTTCCTTGCAAAGGTTCATAGAAATTTGTGTGAGTATGTTGTTACAATTATTATTTTTAGAGTTTATATAGCAAGAATTAATATGAATAAACAATATGGATATAGTTCTTATACATACAGGTTAATTACAATGTTTGTATTTAACGTGTTTTTTCCTTTGTTGTTGTTGTTGTTGTTTTTTAATTGAAAAAGAAAAGAAAAAAAAAACAGAAAAGTTAGAACCACAATAGCATTGAATGGCAAATTTAAAAACAAAGGCGAAACTGGTTAAATTTTGTCATCATTAGAGCCGTACTTTTATAGGAGACTTGCTCATCCTGGAGAAAAATGTAAAGTCCCATATAGAATACTGCCATTTCAAATGATCTCTTTAATATTTTAAAATCGTCTTTAAGTTCTCGTATAGTATGAAATGGGTTACCTTTATTATTATTTTCAAATGACAACAAATTACAGGGAGTCATTATTAAAAGGGGGTTGTCATTCTTCGCGACAGTCATTTTTTCATGGGGGGGGGGGTCATATTACTTTGACCATTGGATCATAATATTAGAACCACGGAGACAATATTCTATGAAAACTATAGACCGGGGTCATAATATTATGGGGGTCACTTTAGTTTGGTACATCGGTCGTTCTTTTTTTAATGTCATTATTTATTTTGCGTAAATTGATATCAATTATAAGTGTTTTTAAAGTTCTCGGGGCAGTTCAGCATTGTCGGGTACCAATAATAAGCATTTTTTACATAGTTGTGTACTGTCTATTATACTAAAAGATACGTACCCAATGTGCGTTACAAGTAGTACCCGTGACGAGTGAAGCCTGCGTTTTCATTGAAAAGGCAACACATTAACAATTTTATCACAGATTTGCTTGTAAATTTAAACTGTGTAAACTATTCAATGTAGTTCTGAAAAATAACATCTCTGAAATGACCCCCCCCCCACCTCCAAAAAAATAATAAATAAATAAATAAAAATAAACAAATAACCAAAATATAAATAAATGAATAAAAAGCAACAAAAAACAATTAAACACGAGTACAAAACAAGGCGAGGCACATGATTACTTTGAAAAATATTCTTAAACAGCGAGGGCATAAACACAAAAGTGTAGGCCTATATCTAATATAAAGGCATAACATAAAAAGAACATCAAACAATCGGAACAATGTTAAAACATGATTAAAATAACTCAAAAGTACTTTTGAATTTTACAAGTTTGATAGATATCGGGTTAAACAAACAAAAAAAACATGATAACGCCAAATTCAAGTATCACGTTTTCAACAAAACTATATATGGCCTTGATTTATATCTTGGTGAATAAGCTATTTGTGTTCCAATTTTATATTATCTGAGGAAAAAGATAGATAATACATGTATATAATTATACTTATTAGACGCGTAAGGTTTGCTTTTCGGTGCTGGTCAAACAAAGAAATGTTGGCGTGATCAAGAGAATCAAAGCAATTTATTTCAATTTGTAAGAATTCCTATCCAAGTTATAGTAATATTATAGAAAACAGAGAAAAAAGATAAGATTCGTGTATTTTTTAAAGTTTTTCCCATATACAAATGTATACAATTTGCATTCCGACAGCACATGCATCTGTACATTTCTTGCTTTTCATGATAATACCATGTACAGTGTAAATGTGCGCAATAGCGAAAGATTAGTTTATAATATATGCAACAATTGATCTTGCATAATTAACATTTTACTACTATGTTAAGAAACAGGACGCCCAACGAGAAACATTTTCAGACACCGAACTATTCAGAAATAACTAGTTTGTTTGTTTGTTTCTTTCATTGAGGTACTTATGTATAGTACGAGGTCATAGATTGAGACACATTCGATCAATGTTGTTGACAATTATATGTTTCGAGTTTCACAAACCGTGAGAATGGGGACATCCTCTTGTTTGGCGGACATAGTCTATAAAACAAAATGACAATATAGTAAATATAGTAAATAGTGTTTTAATTGTTAAATACAGCTCTTTATTATATACTTTTAAATGAAATATTGAGAAATATTGATGAAATAAAATGCGTATTTTCATTTTCCGTATTTTCACTGTAAAAATTTATGTTTCACTGCAGTGAAACATATTTTCCGTATTTTCACTGGTGTCTTGCCGGACTACTTTCTTTTAAATTCTGCCAGTACTCAAAATTTAAGGGAAGGTCTTCAAATTTTAATGTCCAGAAAGAGAAAAATGTATATAATAAACAGAAAATTCAAGTTTTTTCTATAAATACATGATTTATTTTCATCTTGTGGCATAAAAATTACCATATTTCACTCGTGGCTACCGCCACTCATGAAATATTTATTTTCATACCACTCGATGAAAATAAATCATGTATTTATAGAAAAAACTTGAATATCCTCTATTTATTTAATTTTACCCATGAAATATGGTGCTATATCAGTCAAATATATTTCATATTTTTTAAAAATAAATATGAAATATAAATATGAAAGTGGGCGGAGTCAAAACTCATATTTATTTTAAGGGACTTCTTTCGCCGTTTTGTTTGAAAAATCTGATAAATACAAAACAACTTTTTCTTGAATTTTGTTTTGAAAACTATCTAGCATGATAGAAAATGGTCTAACTAAGAAAATTAATCCGAACACCAATATCTTTAATTCAGTAATTAACGCTGTACAGACGTTTAAAGAGTTGTTTACATGACGTCACAATGTAGCGCCAAACAGCGCGTGCTTACGCATAAATTACTGCGCGCTGTACAATCGCAGTTGATATCAAGCAAGGGGATTCGTTACCATTTTCTTTGATAATGAAATTAAATAAAAAGGATATTTTTTCGTTTTTCGTGAAATATGGTATATATTTTCACTCAACATGATAAAATGCCACATATTTTCACTCGCCGTACCGGCTCGTGAAAATATGTGGCATTTTATCATGTTTCGTGAAAATATATTCCATATTTCACGCAAACGAAAGAATATCCTCTTAGTATAAGGCATGTTATGTAAGAAATATATAGGGTTAGAGGTTAAAAACTGTAGAACCTGAAAAATAATGAACCGTACTTAAGATCGTTAGTTGACTAGCTTCAAGCAATTTCCTTTAAAACAATTCAAGTATTGCCAGTCAATAATATTTAGCTTTAATGTCGTACAAATTGTTGAAATGTCTCAGGTAAGTCACTGTCATCCGCCGTCTTCAGCGGTGATATCTTCCATTTTTTAAAACTTAATTAATATACATATATAAATATCCATATTGTCCGTAATCAATTGTTCTTTTTAGTCAATCCATATGACTTTTGTTGTATTTCCAAGTTACTTTTGCCAGCATATCATATATTTAGTGCTTTTTCCCCTTAGACAATAATATAGTCTATTAATTAAATCTGAATGCCTCCAGATTAGCCGAAATATTTCAAGAAAACCAAACCTGAGAAAAAAATATATTATGATTTTTAGAAAGGTAAAAGGATTCAAGCCATAATTACTAATATGCATGTAATGTGCGATATCGTTTACTAATTTTGCAGTGTTTACCACCTTAATTAGTGCTACTGCGTGACTATCGCGGTAAAGGCTATATTTGCATTGTTGACCTCTTTTTCTACAGGCGATTTATTTGTATTGTAAGTGCCGTTTGCAGTGTGTAAATTATTTTCTATCTTCACATAACTATATTTTACTTTTAAATACATTTTCAAAATGTTCGCGGATATTTGCATGATACCGGAGGCATGCGGCTCAAACATAATTAACAACAAACGCGAACTAAAACGTGCTTTTGAAATTAAAAAAATAAATAACTTGCACGCACATAACGTGCAAGTGATATTTCAAATAATCGATAATAACTAATTTTACCATGGTAGACAACTTAAACGTGCAAAAACGTGTCGATAATTAACATTTAACATAATAGACAATCAATTAAATTCTTTAATTTACTGTTTTGAAGTATTGCGAATATATTGCTGCAATGTGCATTTTGACGTAAAAGGCGGGAATAAATGGACTTAAAAGGCGAGAATAAATGGAAAAGAGAAGACTCCCCACAGGGTGAGAAAAATGTGCAGCCTGACCGGGACTCGAACCCGGGACCCTCGGAATACCGTTCCGCGGCTCTACCGACTGAGCTATCCGGCCGCTTACACATCTTCTCCCCTAAATAGTGAACAGTTCTGAACCGTGACATACTCCCCTGCTATATTGAAATTCGTCCTCGAATTTCACAGAGTTACAGAGCAATGTAAATTAAACTCTGAGCTATATCAGTCACGGTCCCCCGTTGGGCGCCAAATGTCACAGGGTGAGAAAAATGTGCAGCCTGACCGGGACTCGAACCCGGGACCCTCGGAATACCGTTCCGCGGCTCTACCGACTGAGCTAAGGCCATAGCCCACAAGACTGTACTGAGCAACTATGAAAAAAAAAAGGTCACAGGGTGAAAAATCATGATCCAGATCTCAATATTCAATGAGAACCTTTTTTATTATTATAGAATTACTCTGTGATGAATTTAGTTAAATTCTATCCATTTGTGTTCATTTCCATCTACTTGTATGCTGCTAGGTATGTCCTTCAATGATGATTTAACAGATAAGCCACATTGCCCAAGTAAAAGATGCCAACAGATTATATAAATCAGCACCTTAAACAAAGGAATATATCACTTTCTGTTGTTATAAAAGTTCTTAAAGCCCTTTTCCATCCACTTCAATCAACTTGTAAATCCTTGGTTTGTTGTCTCAATCTACAAAACCTATTGATACATGAAAAGTAAGTTAGGATAGAAAATTATAGACTTGAAATTTCTATTTAAAAAACAACAAATTTTCCTCTGCTTTTACAAGGGCTTGGAACCTTCTTGTGCAGCTGTTTTGTCTCATTAGTTTTTAACATCTTTACCAAATGGGACTGAAAAAGTGCACAAGGCAGCATTTAAATTTGGTTGTTTTTTTTCTTTGATGATCATTTGTCTAAACGAATAAGTGACGAATTTTGAAGATTGGGTATGTAAGGTATGCCTGCCATAATGGAGCTGTTGATAGTTTAATTTCTTTTCTTTTGTCTTCTTTCTTCATCCATTTGTTGTTTTATGATTTTCCTCCATTCTTCAAAAGTGATGTTTTCTGAATTTTGGCAATATATTTTAAACATGTAAGTTTTATGGGTTGTTGAATTTTTTCTATTTTGTCCACATTTGCTGCAATTGACAAAAGTTGGAGTCTTGTATGGTCTAGTTTTCTTTGAAGTAATTGAAGTTGTTGGAATAGGTGATGTTGTTGTTGATGTTGTTGTTAATGGAGGAACTATTGCAGTTTGTTGTCCTGGAAGAATAATTATTTGTTGCTGCTCCATTATGACAGGATATGTTATGACGGTTGCTTCTGGTGTTTGATTTACTGAAAGTTTGGTATCTGACTTCCTCTTTCGGTTGATCCTCTTGTGTGCCAGTCCAGCAGTGCATGGATTATCCTTGAATTTGTATGTTGGAGCCTGATTGGAAGGCAGTGCTGCTGGTTTCTGACGGGCCTCTGGCAAGTCACTTCCGGTCAAAGCTGGCTTTGGCATATTAATTCCCTGCAAGAGGACCTTCTGTTCATGTTCTTTGTCTGCCTTGTTGTACCTGAAATACAAATGCACAAATACATACTGTTAAAATGTGCTGAAAAATTGCCTCAAGACATTTGGAAAACATAAAATTGATAAAAATCTAGATGTCAACCCTTGATTAAACAAAGTACTTTAATATTATAAGGAGAGTGAATCCGATTGCTCACTCGTAGAAGCTTGAACAAAGCAGCAAACAAGTTTCAGTGAAATTCTGGAGAAAAATTAAGTATTTAACCTGGCTCGGCTTTCATGGAAGAGTCTTTACTTTACTAAAACTTAATCTAAAGATAGTTATCCTCAGAAACATGTACAAAAAGGGAAGTTGAATAGCAGTAATCAGAACCAGATACAATACTAATATTCAATTTCAAAAGTAAAAGACTATCAAATGCAAATGAGTTAACTTATAAATAACATCATTAGTAAAAATTCATCTTTTTCACATTTCCCTGTTTGTTTTCAGTGTTGACAGATCAGGGTACATGGAACTTTTATTGAAATATATAATAGCTTCTTACCATTGTTGTAGTGTCTTCTTGTTCAGCAAAGGCAGCTGTATTTCTGTTCTCTGCATGGCCTGCTGTGATTTTAAAATGACCTGCCTGATGTTATGAAAGGCCCTGAGGACAAGACGCCATCTGGTCCACACAGTCCCCTCACACTTCCGGTCCCCAGGATACAGCTTCATCAGAAGTTCACAAGTGGCCTCTGTGTATCTATTACAGTTCGGCCACTGTGCTGGGCCTTGGTTAGGTCCAAGGAGAACTCTAAAAGAGCAGAAAAGACAGATAAACTGTTTTATTAAAACAAGCAATGAAGTACAACTTATTTTGAAACAAAAACATAACATTGTAATGTTTTAAACTTTTGTTGTCTACAAAAATTAAGATTTTTATAATAAATAATAAGAGTTAGTAATAGTGTGCAGTTTCAGTCATAAATTAAATTTCAATAGTTTATTATGGAAATACACAAAAATTTTAAAAGTGTTAAATTGTTAATAAAGGTTTAGATACTTACTTTGTTATGCTTTCTACTCCTTGGGTGACATGTTTTCCTCGCCCACCAAACTTCCCTGACCATGGTTTCTTTGTGAACCTCTTTGGAAAGACTGTCCTTTTCTTGTCAAAGTCAGACAACTGTTCCCAAAGGTAGGTAAGGCGTCTAACCTTGTCAAAACTCAGAACTTTCTCATCTCTAAGTTCAACAAGGAACTCAGCAAGGTTAAGCACCTTATCATACCCTGGAACATTGTCTGGCCCAAGGACCTGGAATACAGATATTTATGTCATTATTACATCAAATATTATAAGAGCTGCAAATCCTATTACAGTAAATTATTGATTTGAGACTGTTATGGATTAAAAGAACTTTGAGTGACCAAAAAATTGAATAATTTATGTAGTATCTGAACCATTTCCTTAGAACAACAGGCTACAAATCTTGTAAACCATAGTTTTTATTGATCTGAAAAAAAGTTATGAAATCCTGGCATCAGCAACCATAAAAATAAAAAAACAACATTATACTCAGAAAAATGTTAAAAGATGGCATACATAATTATAACTTTCTATTTTCAAATAAATTACAAACCTGTGTGATAGAGCATGTGTCCATCATTATTGCAGACAGAAACAATAAGAGAAACATATTAACAAAATAAATGAACACTTACATGACTGCTCTGATCTGCAGGGCTGGAATCTTCCAAAGATGGAGACATATCGGAACTGGAAACTGGCAGTGAACTTTCTTTTAGTGGTTCCATACCTGTATAGGAGATATTGTGTTTAATTATCTTTTCAGCAAAAGCACCACTAAGACAGGGACATGTACTATGAACTCTGAACAGTATTCAATTGATATGTGCTCAAGAGGTCATTTCAATAAAATAGCAGCATTCGTCAAAAAGTTTAATTGGCTTTCAGTTTGCCATACTGAATCCAAGAGATGGAATTAAAAAAAAATAACTAAAAAAAAACAACATACAATAAAACAATAATATTTTTGAGACAAATTACCTTGGATAGCAGTTTCCATTGCTAACTGGTGATAATCAGCCTCACTAGGAATGTGAAGGATGGGCTTTGTGCTTTCTGAGGGAGGTATTGAAACAGGCTCTTCTGGAAGATTCAGGATTTCCTGTTCCATCTCTATGAACCCTTCATCCTCAACACTGTCTCCCTCCTCTTGTCCATTATTATCCTCATCCTTCTCTAATTGTTCCCTTGTGAGAGCTAAACTTGGCATTTGTTTGCCAGTTTGGTCGTATAAATACTGCAGTCCAACTAGTTCACCTTTAAATATACACAGAAAACACATACTTAGAGCTGTAAAAGATAATGTTTATCCAGCTGTAAATGATTTTGCTCTTTCATCTAATAAATCTTGTTTCTAGAAAACAATAGACAGTACAGCTTTTTATTTGAGTAAACATTGATATATAAAGCCTGATGATCTTTTCATTTGAATCAAGATGGAAGGCAACAAAGTTTAACTTTTCAATGTACTGCTTTTTCGTATTCACAGCAGAACTAAATAAATAAATGAGCAGCTTGAACAGCCAGTATTACAGCTAAGCACGGCAAAGCTGAAGACCAAATACTGAAAACTGTGTAAATTTAAAACTGTGCACTTGGCTATGTAAGAAATACTCTTATTTATTTTTAAAGCTACACTTTAGATATCAATTAATTCATTCATACATACCTGTATACTTTGCTGGAGGCTTAAAGTTAGGGAAGAATGGCTTCCCACAAACTTCCTGCCAGAGCACATTAGTCTGGTGCTTCAGGGAACCGCTGTATGTCCTGGGAACATCTGTTGTTTGTTGACTGGAACTAGCGATAGCCTCTGAAGCCCTATCTGTATTCCATCTAAAAATGCCATCCAAGAGGTAGACTTGAAAGTTTGTGTCCTTTGCAAGCGTTCCTGTAATAATTATGTACAAGATTTGTTTTAGTGAACTCCATGCCTCCTCTAGTAACAAAAATAACAATGTCATATCCATGGAGGTCAGATTGAAAGTTTGTTTCAAAACTGTTACTGTGTTTAAAAAGAAAAAAATGCATATTCTACAGTGTAATACTCTGAACATATTTATCCCAAAGGTCAAAGTTTTATATATGACAGAAAGAAAAAAAGCTGTAATATCAAATTTTCTTACCTGGAATGAACCTGGCCATGTGTAGATGGAAATTCTCAAGAGAAGTTGACCCTCTGGCACATTTGTACACTGGCAACTCTATACCTCCTTTCTTAATAGTCGATACTTGTATGTAAAGTCTGACACCTGGAGGGTCCTGGAGGCAGGCAACATGTTGGCTCTGCTTGGCCCAGATGTCAGACATCTTTATTGTATCTATCAGGGGTACACCGCTCGTGTCAACTCCTATATAAATGACAAAGTTACTTAGGGATACAAACAGAATCTGAATAGCCAAATATTATAAACAAAGTGACATAGTCAAAAGTTACCTTCAATCACTTAGTGTCTGATTTTTTATAAATAGCCTGTTACAGTATGCATTACATGAGATAGCCCATACTCCATGATTATTTTGCACTCTGGCCAAGTCCATACTGTGTGGTAATCTCACAGCCTTAAGTCTACACTAGTCCAAAGATAGTCTATATATCTAAAGAAGTCTACACTGCACCTAAACATTTACACTGACATCCTCATGTGCAAGGTCTCTGCAAGATAGACATTGACTGTCTGAAGCCTATTCTTTAATTTCACTTCACCCCAAGTATATATATGCTGGTATATATGCAAAGTGTGGTTGAGTAAGTTGATTCTTAGATTAATCTACCCGTGTAATTTGTATAAATATCAGCTTGGCTGCACAGCAGTCTACTCACCATTTTGCAACAATCTATATCATGTAAATTTTTAAAAATTACTTGATTTACCTTTTTCGCCATCCATTGACATGATGAGGTCAGTTATGAGACTTGTTGTCTCCTTGGTGCCCCTAGTAGCACGCTTGCAGTGGCGGCCTATTTCATCAGATGTGATGCGCTGGACTACATCATTGTCTGTTGGACTTGGGACACCCTGTTGAACAAGTTCTTGTCTCTTGGCCTTCATCAGAAGTGTATAGTCATGTTCATCAACCTTGAAGATACAACGACTTAGCCTTGCCATGAAGGGACCGTAAAGTTGGTGTTTGTCGGTTGTGCAGCCATTCGGAAAGCGTCGCATAAAGTGCCAGGAGTCAAGTCTGAAATATCGAAAGAAAAACCAAAAATATACAATAAAGACTAAGAAAATTTTACTCCCATGTAAACCACAGTTCTTTATCACTTAGAATATATAAAATATGTAATAGAGTACACACCTTATATTGAGAAAAGGCCAGTCATCAAAGTACTTCTTTATACATTGCCTTCCACAGCAATCTCTATCTGTATACATCACTTTAGGTGGAGGCGTGCCAGCATTCCTGTACCTAAGGGTAATGCCTTTGAGCATTTTCTTTAACCCTTCGCCCTCACCTTCAGTGAGTACTGACATGAGGACCTGGCCATGTTCATTACCAACATTTGTGGCCCACATCGCTGTACCTCTGCTGAAACCTAAAATGTAGAATTCATTTATCTTGACTGTGTAACAAAGTAATCATTAAATTCTTGAGTAATTTAATAATATTTAAAGCTTGTATTAATAACTGATTTTCAAAATATTTCGCATTATCTTGGTTTTATTAAATATACTTGAGTGCAACCTTTGGACTCATTACAATGGATGGCATGAAGGATGTGGTTAATGCATGACCACACTGGACTTAAGACATCAGTAGGTTTGAACCCTGCTAAGGCAGGAAATGTTATCGTCACCGCTTAGTACTGATTACGTCTAGGAATGGACCAAACTACAATCAAACTTTTTAACAAGCACCTGCAAATAAATACCAACTGAGAATAAAGACCAAGTTTCTTTTCCAAAATTACATATTCTAAGAATAAATTTACCTGTCTACCTTTAGGGACTATTGTCGGTGTTTTTCCCATTATGGTTTTTGCAAACAGGTTGGGCTGTGAAATTCATTCAAACTGATGTCTAATATAAGTTACAAATTTAATAGAAACGAAGTATAAATCACATACTAAAATTATGAGTAGCATTACAAATGTTTATCTATAGCTTACCTGCAAGCTTATTTGTTACTTTCTTGGTGGAGTCAATTTTAAGAATATCTCCTGTAATGGATGTCAACTCAGCCAATTGATAGTCCAGTCTAGAGATGACATCCAGAAGATATACTTTCATAAACCAGCGATGCCTGGGGATGTTCATCACTGGTGGTGGCTCTGCAAAGTTTGGGATGGTCACTAAGCCTTTGGCTGCAGATTTCTGGAAGGCCATATAATTGGTTGCATACTGGCGGCACTTATCTAAGTAGTTCTCGCCATGATTTTCAGCAATCTGTGGAAAATCAGCATAAGTAATCGGCATCTTAATTAAAATAAACTTTCAATCATAAAATGTTTATCATATTTACACATCCTCTTGGTGTTGAACAATGTTACCAGTTTATAAGTATACATCAAATAATTCAAAAACAAAATTATAACTTAAATCAGCAAGAAGATATGAAAGTTCACAAGTTGTAACATGCATATGTACCTGCTTGCACACTAGACTACTGCTGTTACCAAGTGTCCTCTGTCTCATCATTCTTACAACATTGAGATCACATGCATACCTGTCTGTCAGGATACATGGAAACTTACTTCGCTCTGTTGAGTCTAACTGCCCTAAAATACTATGGCTCCAACTGATAATCTGTAATAAACATTGTACCATAATGTACCTGGTGCTCAAGCAAGGTATCTGGTATGTCAAGCTCACTGGCAATGAATCTTGACAAAAACAGTGTTTAAGACTAGAACTTCTTTTGAGAATGAACATATTTTAATCTGCCTTAGTCTAACACACATTTTATTTCATTTGAAAACACAAAAATGAGGCATTTAACTGCACAATACAAACTGACATGTTGCAAACTTACATTACGAATAACATTAATGTTGAGAATAGGTGGAAGTTAAGTATATTTCTTTTCAAAAGTAATCTGTTATCATCTATATTCCATGATTATGAATTATTCTTTGATTATTTTAGTAGCTGTAGTTCAACTGACCCTTCTCTTGCACTTGCTGCATTCATAATCTTCTCCTGCTATAATATAGTAGTCTTTCATATCAAGTACCATCCTAGTTTTTTGATGAACTCCATTGTTCACCAAGGTTCCCTGACATCCAGAGTGGGGGCAGACAAAATGGTACTGGAATAAATGTCTCGGCATCCAAAGAAATAGCCGGTGCCCAAAGAAACAGTCCTGTTTGTTCAGTACACCTGTGGTACAAGTACATGTATAATAGGAACCAGTTCAGTAAATAACTATCTGCAAAACATAGCTCTCATTTTTATTACAAACTGTAAAACATCTCCTGAAACTGGAAAGAACAATAACTGACTAGCCCTGAAAAATACTTAACACAGTCCAATTAAGACAATTCCATACATAATCTTTGACCTTTGAGAATAATGAATAAATAATTGATTACCTCTGGACAAACTAGGCTGAGGAGGTTCATACCACAGCTTGGTCACTCTGCTGAAATCAAACTGTGGCCCTCTGGTTGCATAGTGGAAAAATGTCTTTGAGATCCAGCCTTGGTCAACGACAGGAAGTGTTTTTCTTCCACTTTTTGGTCAAAGGTATATCATCATCTAAAATCAGAGAAATTGAATAACTTGCAAAACATGTTAATATCTCAATTTTAACAAACAGTTCCACACAGTGTTCACCCAATCAGAATAAAATATATAAACAATTTGAAGGTAATGGCTACAATTAAACTTAATTTGAACTGAACTTGTATGGCTCAGGATTCTCTTCAGTATTTTAATATGAAATACAACATAACTTGATTGTACAGTCAACACTGTGCTAACAAAAGCTTGACAAAAGACTTAATTTAACTTTAAGTAAAAATTTTATATCTTAACACTATACCTATTGAAAGACATTGTTTATTTAAAGTTGTCTGGTCCTGAACTGGAGGCCCCTGCACTTGTTTTGGGAATTCTGTGGAAGATTCCCGAGTTGATCCAAGGGGATCCTGAGAGACATCTACCTGGGAAACAACCTGCCTAGTTTCACCTGGGGCTAAAACAGTAACAAAGCAAATGCTTGCAAATTAATCATGCAATACCAGAGTACATTGGTGCAAACAGTAGGTAATATATACCAATGTTATCACCACAAAATAAATTTGTATTTCTGTCTTACCAAATTAAGTAAATGAGTGAAACAAAATATTTCCTTTTTATTTAACTTTATTATGGAATATCTTGATATGTTAATATGTAAACAAACATAAATTAATTAGTATGAGTATGAGAAACTATAACAAACTATACATGTTAGGAAGTCTGTATGTGTGAGAAAGTCACTAAAGAACAAAAAAAGGCATGGTGTATATGTTAAGGCAGTACAATGTGTAAAAAATAAAGGCAAAATCAATTAATAAATGCTTGCAGTATACATGTATCTTCACTTAACACCTCTTGCAGATTTTTACAATAAACACAAAAGACACTTACACTAATTAGAAAAAAAAACCCAAACCACTACATGCATTTTACTCCTTTTTATGAATAAGCTGAAGTTGGACAAATGGTGAACCTAAAACTTAACAATGCCATTATTTGTAACACTTTGCAAATAAATGTCAAAAATTTCTCACTGCTTTGAATTTTTTTTTATTTATTTATTTTTTTTATTGGGTTTTATGTCACACCGACACAGTATAGGTCAAATGGCATCGTTCCAGCTTTACTGGTGGAGGAAGACCTCAGGTGCCCTTCCGTGCATTATTTCAGGCACGAACGGGCACCATTAGTAGAACCACCGAAGTTCCGTAAGCTAGCTGGATAGCTTCCTCAAATGAAAGAATCCAAAGTCTCTGTCGGGATTCGAACTCACAAGTGGTTTGAAGTCAACGACCATAACCACTCGGCCACAGACGCCCCGGCTTTGAATTTAAAGATGGCAGTTAATTTACAACAATATTCATAAGAACATTGCATACACAGTACTATAAAATAACTTTTGATAACATTTGTCCAAATTCATATCAAATGAATTCATCACATAAGTATTGTTAAAACTAAATCTATAAATTTTTCTCTATCTATCTCTCTCTATATATAATGTGAAGTGAAAAAATATAATTTTATATTACACAGTAAATATTAGCCATATCTCTGCATATCAGCCATTCCTATGGGTATCTGGTATTAGAAATTTGCTCTGGGTCTTGTTATTTAATAATATCATATAATGAACTGTCAGGTGTGCATAATCATACATCAATTTTGATGTCCAAATTTAGATCAGCATTGCCACATTCTTTTGTTTTCAATGGCATTGTGCATAAAATTGAAAATCTGTTATGTTCTTCAGTGAATATCAAATCTATCTTACTTTTAAAGAGAAAACTTTACATTTGAAATTATCTCAATTCTTAATTAATTGAATCCCATATTCATTCAGTTCAATCAAATATCTTTTATATATCATAACTATTAGTACTATTATTTTCACAACAAACATTTTGGATAGTAGATCAGTAGGCGAAAGCAGGACAATCTGTGGAATCACAAATACACATTTTAAGCAAGAAAGAAAGCACTAGGTAGTGAATATGGCAATATAAGTATCCTACAAGACAACAGAAAGACTCACAGGTACTTTAAAAAGTCTAGAGTAAATGTGACAAACCACCATATCAATACATCTAATTTAACAAATGTGGTAACAATGTTTACACTGGACATACAGCATGTAATATGACATAATAATATTGTCAAATTCTTATTTTAAGTGACTAGCCATCATTAGTAAATTCTTAATTCACTGATGCCATTATTTATCCAGTGAGAAAAACTGGTACCACAGTTGAGACAGTAACCCATTCTCATCCTTTCAAGAAGTCTTGGAATATCATTAATTTATTTTCATTTTTGACACAAAATTTTAATCATTAACACAAGCATATATTTGTGTGCATTACAGCAGTCAAATTGTGTCTCTTTCCTTAATACTTGTTGAAATTCTGAGAATGGGCTTGTCTGATACTTACCTAAATCTTACCCAAAAATAAAAAGATACTATGTTTCCACTAACATACTCCAGAAAATTGTGTTTTTTTTTATAGTTACTTAATATATAATTATAATGGAAACAAATGATTGTTTTGCATAAATCAGAATAAGTTGCAACACAATATGCCTAATACATGCATTGCTTTCACTGTTTCATAAAAAAAAGGTTTAAGGTTAAAAATAAAAATCTGGTCTTCTATTTGGTGGAAACAAGTGACTTTTTAATTTCCTCCTAAAAAGGATGGCCTGAAATGAATATATGCTTTATAATATTAATATATCTATTCATACATGTACATATACACACCAATTTTGCTTATGACCAAGCATAGTGATTCAACAATGGCTACTTGGCAACAATATGCACATTGTCTCTTTGTCCATATTGGTACACATATAGTTTTTAACAATTGAAGTTCCAATGACATATGAGCCGTGTCACTACAAAACCAACATAGTGGTTTAGCGACCAGCATGGATCGCTATCAGTTTCTTTACTTGTTATAGGGTCTGTAGCGAACAGCATGGATCCTGATCAGACTGCACGGATGCGCAGGCTGGTCTGGATCCATGCTGGTCGCAAAGCCATTATGTTGGTTTTGTCGTGACACGGCTCATATAATTTCGGTCATTCCAAGCAAAGCATAATACTGTCATTATTTGACAGGAAGGCGAAATGTTGAACTTCATACTGTGATACATGTAATACCATGTACAACAGAACTCATAATTTGTTCTGAAAATCTTTGACCTAATAATTTTAAGATATTAAGACAAACTGAATATTCAAACTTTAATATGAAACATTACCTTTGATGCTGCTCTCATAGTTTTCTAAACAAACCAATAGTTCCTCATCAGCTGCACTGTCCATTTCACCTACAAGTCAAAAAAACAACAGTACAGATGAATGAGTATGGTAAAATTTATATAATAGCATTAAGCTAATGGCTATAAACAAAACTATCATTCTATCAAACATGATCAACACATTGCAAAAATGCAAATTTCAAAGCATCACACAGAGCTCAAACCATAAACAGAGGTCACTTGATTATGAGTCAGCAACTGTAACCACTTGAATATGATTGCCGTCTAATAAAAAGTAATATTTACAAAAATAAGTCTAATTAATAATAATATTAACAAAAGTACAAATAAATAAAACTGGCTTTAGTTATACAGACATCAACAGTGTGTGACAAAAACAAAAGTCTATTACCTGGCTGGTCTTCTATCTGAGAAGTTGTCTGCTGCTTATTACTAGTGCTGCGATCTGAAAAGTGTAGGAAGAAAAATCATCACTTTTGCATCAAAACTGCAAGAAAATATATATGTGTCCAAACTTTGTTAAGTGCTGCTATCTTTAGCTGCTGCTTCTTCTTTCATAATTTCATTTAACTTCTAATTCTAAGTTGCAAGTACATTTTACACAGACTGATCAGAATCAGACAAGGCAGTTTCATACAAAATCAATGATTGAAATAACTATACCTGTTGACTTTTTAATGTTTCCTTTTAAGTCAATAATCTCCTTGCCTTCTGGGAACATACTGACATATTTTATGAATGTCATCTTATGGAGGAAGAGATGGTCCGATGATGACAAAGTTTCACTCTTTATCTTGTTCACCATCCACCCACAATACCCTGGTGTGTTTTCTAGCAGCCAACGATATGTTTCTCCTCTGCAAAACAAAGATTGACAAATTATTTAAAGGAAAGTGGCAATACTATAGCTGCATAATATGTGCTAAGCTCTATTAGTCACCCTTTCCGTTAATTTATTACATTTAAAGAGGATATTTGTTTGGTTCAGTGTAAGATCGGAATTTATTACATACTTTTAAATGAAATATTGAGAAATATTGATGAAATAAAATGCGTATTTTCATTTTCTGTACTTTCACTGTAAAAATTTATTTTTCACTGCAGTGAAACATATTTTCCATATTTTCACTGGTGTCTTGCCGGACTACTTTCTTTTAAATTCTGCCAGTACTCAAAAAAGGAAAGAGAAAAATGTATATAATAAACAGAAAATTCAAGTTTTTTCTATAAATCTTGTGGTATGAAAATTACCATATTTCACTTGTGGCTACCGCCACTCATGAAATATTTATTTTCATACCACTCGATGAAAATAAATCATGTATTTATAGAAAAAACTTGAATATCCTCTATATATTTCACCGAGTGAGCATCAAAAGTTTATATTTTATGAGTGGCCCAGCCACGAGTGAAATATATACTTTTGGTGTTCACTGGATGAAATAAATTATATTTGATCTTACACTGAACAAAACAAATTTTCATGCCAGAAAAGGTTTATATGGGACGTATTTTAAAATCTAAAGGTACATGAAAATCATGCTAAATGATAATGCAAGGTGACATCACTTTGTACTTCACATCATTAAGTTGGTTCCCAGTACCGTGTACACTGATATTTCAATTAGACAATGAAACAGGCTTTATTTCAAACAGTGAAAGATATCAAAATAATGAAAGTGAAACATCAGATTAAATTTCACTAATAAAATTCTAGAAACATGTGATAAACATGTATCATACCTGAATGAACCAAACTGCATTCTTAGAAAACCCATCCACTGTTTTGGCTGGGACTCATCTCCACCCACCTCCCTGCACTTGCAACGAGCCTGGACTTTCTCGTCAATGAAGCTTACAGGCTTTTCCCACTTACGATTTTCAGCCTTCACAAGTCTTGCTGATGGGGTATCAGTCAGACTGACTCTGCCACTTGCATCTTTTCGGAAGACTGGGAACATGATACAGCTGAAAAAATGAATTACACAATTTTACTGGGTCAGGATTAAAAAAGACTTAAATAATGCTATATATTTTGAAATATCGAATTCTTTTATTGCTATTATAAAATGTCACGGCGAAATTTCCATCAGGTCCGGTCTCAAACCAACAATGCTTGATTACTAATCCAGTGCTCTATTTATTGTGACATTGTCACGTATGGGACACTCTTTCATTTCGTACGCTTTTCAGAGTTATTTCCCATATAGAAATCTTTGTTCATACCCGGATGTTTTTTTTTTACCCATTATCAGTTTGGTGCAATCACAATCTTTTATAGGAATTAGTTGGGCTTTTCTAGCCACTAATCAATTATTCCCATTAATTGGTCCATCACTTGTATTACAGCAACTTGAAAGTTGCCACACCCTTAAAAAATCTGTAAATTATCAATGGCAAGGGACATATATTACAAATTGTCTATCATAATTAAGGTGGATTATTCAATTTATTGTAGTCCATCTGTACTGTATTTTAGTGAATATGTGCTACTTTCATGTAGCAGTCATAACAGATTTCTGAAACTAATAAAAAGTAATGTAGTCTAGGTAAAAAATACGGTGGCACAAAGGTGACATGTGTGTGTTTTTATTTATCTCGTGCGCATGAGATACTATGTCGTGGCCACCAGTTATTAACTTTAAAATTAAGTCGTGGCGACGAGATAGCTAAGTCGTGGCCATGAGATACTATGTTGTGGCGACCAGTTACAAAGTCATGGCCACAAGATACTATGTCGTGGCTACGAGTTACTAAGTCGTGGCCACGAGATACTAAATGTTGTGGCGACGAGTTACTAAGTCCGGGCCACGAGATACTATGTCGTGGCCACCAGTTACTCAGTCATGGCAAAGAGATACTATGGCGTGGCCAAGAGTTACTAAGTCATGGCCACGAGATACTATGGCGTGGCAACGACTTAGTAACTCGTGGCCACGAGAAAGCTAAGTCGTGGCCACGAGATAAATAACCAATCAGATTACACCAGTTATATGAATTTCCTTAATAATATATATAGTGTATTCTGATTGGTTAATTATTTCGTGGCCACGACTTAGCTATCTCTTGGCCATGGCTTAGTAACTCATGGTCACGACATAGTATCTTGTGGCCACGACTTACCTATCTCGTGGCCATGACTTAGTAACTCATTGCCACGACATAGTAACTCGTGACCACAACATAGTAATCTCGTGGCCACGACTTAGTAACTCGTGGCCACAACATAGTATCTCGTGGCCACAAGATAAATAAAAATACACACATGCCACCTTTGTGCCACAGTACAAAACTTATTGCTAAAGTTATTTATTCATTACACCTATGATTAATATTCAGGTGTACATGTAGTTGTCTACTCATAACAGGTGGTGTGAAGTTGTTCTCAAAAAAGATACAGTCATATTTGCCTGACTATGGCAAGTCTTGTTGATGAAATCATGATAGAAATTAATCAAGACAGTAATATCATAAGTTTCAAACTAAATTTTTATCAACATGTACATACAGTCATGTCCGGTGATCTTGCGCGGCCGGTGATCTTGCGCACTCGGCATTTCCTTTTGTTTGGCTGTTTGTTTATGCTGTCGCTAGAAATTTTCAGCCAAAATTTGTGACTTGGTCTTACTTTGAACTACAACAAGTTAAGAAAGTTCAAAAAAATATCTGTCAAACATATTTGTTTACATTATTTCGTCATCTTAATTAACTTAATTACCACTGACCTATTTTCCCATTATATTCCTGTCTATGTACATGGTCTATTCATCCAGTTCCAAAATCTTACGTCCAGCAAAAAAAATCTATATCACACATTTTAAAGCAGTATTGCACCGATAAAATGTTGTAAATTTTCTTTTTTCCCTTTGCAAATTAAGGTGTGTTCAGTTGTTATCTCCTGCCGATTCCCGCCATCTTGTCAAAATGGCCCCTCCCGCGCTTTTCAATTTTTTTTCTATGGAAGCGTAAAAGGGTCTAGAAAAGAGCATTGAATTTGTTAACTGGTGTTGTACTGTGTGTAGTCAATGGGTGCATCTGAAATTCTGTACAGAAATTGAGACATTGACTGGTAGTGATGATTTCAGGTGTCCCAGGTGTAGTAGTGAACAGTAAAATAACAAACCCTTGATGTAAATAAGTTTGTGTTATAGTTTTGTTTGAACAGTTTGAACAGTTTAAATTAGCTTTTCATTAATTGGACTCACAAAATTTATATTGATAGTATTACTGGGACACCATACTTTAAAAAAATCAGCTTTGTGAGGTCATTCATAACACATGCGCAAGATCACCGGACAAATAAATGTTGGGATTAAACATGGTGGTAAGTGTTTACATTGTTGCACTCCTGAAGTTCAATGAGTTATTTCCAAAAAAATATTTCTGTCATTAT